AAAAAAGTTAACAAACCTATTCATCAAAATGAAGAAGAAAAACATAAAGTTTCAGTAAAAACAAAACCTACAAAAACAAAAGAAATGAAAAAAATCCACAAAAAAAAGCACTACAAAATGACATCAATAAACTCACACCTATCAATAATTCACTGAATGTAAATGGCCTAAATGCACCCATAAAGAGATGGAGAGTGACAGAATGGATAAAAAAAACAGGATCCATCCATATGCTGTCTACGAGAGACACACTTTAGAAACAAAGATGTAAATTTATTAAAAATATATCAAGCAAAAAATGTATCAAGCAAATAGCTACCAAAAAAGAGCAGAAGGGGCAATATTAATCTCAGATAAAATAGACTTTAAAACAAAATCTACCATAAAAGATAAAGAAGGACACATATAATGATTAAGGGGATGATCCATCATGAAGACATAACCATAATAAACATCTACGCACCCAATGACAGGGCTCCAAAAACAAACTCTAACAGCACTGAAAAGAGAAACTGACACTGCCACAACAATTGTAGGAGACTTCAACACACCACTCTTGGTAAAGGACCGAACATCTAGAAAGAAACTCAGCAAAGATACAGAAGACCTAAAGGGCACAATCAGCCAACTTGACCTCATAGACCTATACAGAACACTACACCCAACAGCTGCAAAGTACACATTCTTTTCCAATGCATGTTGAATGTTCTCCAGAAAAGATCACATCTTAGGCCACAGAGCAATCCTCAACAAGATCTAAAATGCTGAGATAATACAAAGTATCTTCTCTGACCATAATGCCATCAAGGTAGAAATTAACAACAGGAAGACCAAGGAGAAAAAAGTCAAGTACATGGAAACTGAATAACACCCTGCTTACACATCAACATTGTTACTCTCTGTTGTCCCTGAGCAGGTCCCAAAGCTAGTCATAAACTTCCTCAGAACATATCAGTATCTCTGGAGGTAGCTTCTCTCCAACTTCTTCCTTCTGCGTCTTCAGATCCTGGCTTTCTTTTTATGGTGAAATGTAAATTGTTTATTTAATCTAATAGTTGCCCCCTCACGTCTTTGCACATCCAGTTCTCCTAATGTAACAGTGAGGAAAAAAAAAATGGTAGTCTTAAATTTCTCTCATTTTTTCTTATCTCTGGGAAACTTCAATTATATTAAGAGAGTCCTTGTAACATTTATGGCTCCCTGGGAAGCGCTAAAGGTTAATGTGCTTAGCTGCTAATCAAAAGGTTGGCAGTTCAAGTCTACCCAGAGGCACCTCGGATGAAAGCCCTGGTGATCTACTTCTAAAAAATCACCCATTGATGTCTGGGGTCTTAAAAAGTAGTGAGCGGTCATCCAAGATGCATCAGTTGGTCTCATCCCACCTGGAGCGACGGAGAATGAAGAACACCAAAGACACAAGGAAAATATTAGCCCAAAAGACAGAAAGGGCCACATAAACCAGAGACTCCATCAGCCTGAGACAAGAAGAACTAGATGGTGCCCGGCTATCACCAATGACCGCCCTGACAGGAGCAGGTGAAAAGTGGGGTGCAGAATGCAAATTCTAGTAAAAAGACCAGACTTCATGGTCTGACTGAGACTGGAGGGACCCTGGAAGACACGGACCCCAGACTCTCTGTTAGCCTAGAACTGAATCCATGCCTGAAGCCAACTCTTCAGACAAAGATTAGAGTGGACTATAAGACATAAAATGATACTTGTGAAGAGAGAGCTTTCAGCTCAGGTAGATACATGAGACTAAATGGGCAGTTCCTGTCTGGAGGTGAGATGAGAAGGAGAGAGGTCAGGAGCTGGTTGAATGGACACGGGAAATCAGGGGTGGAAAGGAAGAGTGTGCTGTCACATTATAGGAAGAGCAACTAGTTTCACATAACAATATGTCTATAAATTTTTGTATGAGAAACTAACTTGAACTGTAAACTTTCACTTCAGGCACAATAAAAGAAAAAAGAATTGGAAAAAAAAATCAGCTATTGAAAACTCTATGGAGCACAGTTCTACTCTGACACACATGGGATTTCCATTAGTCAGAGGTAACTTGATGGCAACTGGTGGTAGTGGTGTAACATTTGTAAGGCATTAACTCTCGGAATGTGTCCTGCTGACCTTAGACAGGGCTAAGACAGGAAAGTATCTATGACCTCTCACTTTTCTTCCCCTGGGGTGTGCCCAATGGCTGCAGCTTTGGGAGCTACAAGTTCGGGAGCATGTCGATCTGGAAAGTGGGACAGATAAATGCTTATCACCCATCCATATCTCCTGTGAAGCCTTATTTCATTGCTATAGACTGGTAAATGCCCATAGCTCATCAATGCATTGCTCATGCAAGGTAAAAATCCAAAATAATATGTATGCCTGGTGTGCAGGATAACTTATTGTTATCTCAACACACTAATACTAATGAAATTCATGTTTATTAAGCATTTTTGACATGCTAAGCCTATAAATGGCTAATATGTATTATCTTATTTAACTGTCATAACAACCCTATGAGGTAGATACAGCTACAATTCCTGTTTTACAGATGATAAATAAATGAGTCATTGACATATGGCCTTGCTCTAGGTTTATAGCTATTCCATGTCAGGGCTGAAATTTGAACCCATGTTGTCTGATTCCAGAGTATACACTCTTAATTATTACAACATATTCTTACCACTCAAGGTAAGTGAGAATTGGTGGAAGGCCATGCATCAGGGAGGCAGATGATTTGAGTATTTTGTTAATGAATGGTACAGCTCTATCACAGTGGACTGGACTGACATTTCAGGATCCTGCATGAGCAAGCTTGAGCCACCTAACTTTTCTGCAGTTTCCCTTTCCCAACTGCATTACTGATGCCTGCTGGCTTCCTTCATTTATTCAGTCAGGCTATAAATAATTATTGTATGCCCACTATGTACAATGTTTCTGGGTTCTGTGTAGGAAATTACAAAATAAATAAGACAGTCTCTTCCACATTTATGGCATATACTGCTTTCAGTTTCTTCCTCCTGTGTATAATTTCATCCTGTTTACCTTTCAGTCAGTCCAGGCTGTTTCTTGCTGACATGAGATGATGTCAGGGTAACTTTTTTCTAAGTTCTGATCCTTTGCATTTCAGCATGTTAAAAACAGCAGCCGCATCTGGATCCTTCTTTTCAGTAAAATGCCTTCTGGACAGCTCAAAGCAAGGTATTTGGGAGTGTTTCAAGTCCAATTTAGTCCCATCATTTACCTCGTGGCAGTTTGATAACCAGGGAGCAGTAACTCCCTTATCTGTGGGCTGTTTAATGACTATATAGCACCACCCTGGGAGCAATAGACCAAGGCCCTTTTCCAGATGCCATGTTTTAAGACTTTCAGCTGGAAAGAGCTTTACTATGTAAAATTTATTCTATTTTAAATCAGGATTTGGCCTTCTTATTCAGAAGCAAAAAAAAACTGACCTCTGGCTTGCTGCCTCCTGCACTTCTGGCTCTAGGCCATATGATCATCTAATTTGTAGTTTTTCAGGCAGACAGAGAATATCAGAAACTGGCAAATGTGGCCTCAACAGCAGAAAAGTGCCTCAAGCCTGTGACAGGAATACTGAAGACTGCTATAGAAATAGCTGCTCTTCTTTGTTTTTTTTTGCCTCGTTCCACAAAGCAGAACTGTCCCTTCCTATTGTCTTTTGGCAGGTTCTCCTTGAGAGCTCTAGGTCCAGGCAGTTGCCCTGGGTTTTGCTGCCTACTGGTAATTATGCCAGAAGTCTGCCGTAGTAGATCTCATTTTGCTTGTGTACATTATACTTTCTAGAGCAGACTTTTTTTTTGCTGGAAAGCTTCACTGTTAGATATGATTTGCATTTTTTTACTAGATACTTTTTTTTGGTCCTTGAGGACAAACATATTAAGAATTCCTTTATGCATTAACAGAAAAGCAAAACACGAAACAAGTCTATTTGTGGATACGAACCTGTGTTCTTAACAATATAGGCCATTGCTTTAAAACAGGGCATGTAGGTCTTTGCTGCAGGGCCTAGACACTTTATGTTTGCACTGGTTAGGGTAAGAGAACTGGGCTGAATTTAAATTTTTAGTGCAACCCCATTTGTAATAAAAAAAAAAAATCCTGGCCATGAAAGCAAATCATGTTAAAATGACAAGTATTTTTTAATTAAAGTAATTTATTCCCAATTAGGAGAAAATTTTGTTCTTTTTTTAGGCCCTTGCCCTGCTAAATGCTGAAGAACGTGCTTAGTCAGCCTATTGGATAATCCTGCACTGTGGTTAATTCCACTGAAGTAATCTCTAGCCTGGAGCATCAGGGGGTGAAGACACAGCGACGGACTCCTAACGCGAGTGGGCGCTGCTTCCGCCCAACATCGAATACAGGGTGTAGTTTGCCCTCCCCGCCCGTCAGGAGCTTGGTCAAACCAAGAGAGAAGCGAGCACAGAACCCGGAACACGTCCACGCGGGTCTGGGGTCCAGGCCGGCAGGGCCGTGACCTGTCCGTCGGCTGGATCGAAAGCTGCCCTGAGCTGCCCCTTCCCGGCTGCTTTCTAAGGCTGAGGCCAGGTCAGGCGAGGAGACGGGAGAGCGCGTGCTTTGGAAGAAAAGCCGTTGGCAGCTCAGTGTCAGGGCCGGGCCTGACGGCGAGGGAGGAGCACCCTGAACTGCGTTGCGAGTCGTCCGAGTCGCACGCGGACCATGCCATCGCCGGAACTCACACTACAACTCCCAGCGCGCCATGCGCTCGCCCAGGTCGGCGCGCCCGTCGTGCACTGCGACGGTCCACCTGACGGCTGGCCGCCGCGGTCAGCCCACTCGTCGGCCGGCTTTCTTTCGGGCTTCCCCCGTGGGTATGCTCAGCATATACGTCCCTCTAGCCCAACTGCCTGGGACTTAACCCCACGAATGGGAAGCAGCCTCCTAAATTCAACACCGTAGTGTAGGCGCCAGCCAATAAAGTGAGAGGACTATGGCCACGTGACAGTAGTGGGGCGGTGCTCTGGCGAGTCCCTAATCTCTATGGTTTTCACGAGTCGCTAGAGGGCGTGTGGTACGCTGGAGGACTCCCTACATTCTTCCTCCATTACCTCACTGCCTCCGGTGCCTGCTGGGATACCGGAGGACTCGGGTCGGAACTCGACTCAGTCCTCCAGCCGCCCGGGGAATACCTCTAGCGGTTCTTCCCGGCTGCCGCCGCCGCCGCTTCCTCCTCCGCCCGCCTGGCATTCGCCCCGCCCCGTCCGCGCCGCGCGTCCGGCCCACCTGCGGGCCCGCTTCTCTCCGGAGCCCCTATCCAGGCGCATGGCTCCATGAAGCAGGAGAAGGAGGCAGAGTGCGAGAGGTCCCGCCCGCCCCGGTTGCGTCTGGGCCAGAAGAAAAGGTGGGGAAGTCGGGCTACGCCGCGCCCTCCTCCCCGAGGCCAGGCCTCCCTCGCTCCGCCGCCGCCGTGCCTGCCGGGTCTCCTCAGCCCGTGGCGAGCGGAGGGACTAGGAAGGGTTCCCGGGAGTGGCTCTCGGAAGCCGAGGTCGGTTGTCTCGGGAAGTGGGTGCCCGGGGTCATGGGGCGAGGGTCCTGGGGCAGCGTACAGGAGAGGCTCCCAGGCGTCGGTGAAAGGCGGCGGGGCGGGGCCTGCGGGCCACCTGTCCCTGAGGAGGGCAGGGGGTCGTGAGGGCTTGCTGGGGTAGGGGGCAGACCGATGCCCCTGCGCCAGGCCGCGAGGCAAAGCTTCAGCTCCCTTTTCTATACTCCCTCCTGAAAACAGTCTGCGGTCTGTGTAAAGTTTGGTGGTCTACGGCGCCGCCTGGCGGCCCGCATCCGACCGTCCCGCTGCCCCCTCCCCCGCCTCGCGTCTGGATTCCACCCCCGCGACTCGGCCCTTGCTGCTCTACCGGTCACTCTGTCATCTCTTCGACTCCCCCCAGGCCCCTGGGCTCTCTTCCTCACACCCTCTTTTTTCTTGCCTTTCATCTTTTTCCTCTGCCTCGTTTGCTGTTTGCCAGCCTTTCCTTTTCTTGCTCTGTCTTGTCCTTTTCTGTCTTAACACTCTCCACACGCGCTTTCTCTTCCCCTTTTTTTCCAATCCCTCCCTCAGTCTCTCCGTCCTTTTCCACCCATAGCCCTCATTTCCATCATCCTTCCACCTTACTCTCTTTGGGTTTTATGCCTTTCTTCTCAGCCTGTGGGTTTTGCCCTTCATTCCTTGTCGTCCGTCATTCCTTGTCCTGATCTGAACTCCTTTCTTTGCCACGCTCCCTCACCCTTATCCCTCTGGGCCTATCTTCTTTCACTGCCCTCTCCTTGGATGGAGTGGGTGGAGCCTGGAGTCTTCTGTTTACTTCTTTGGGAATAGCTCAATTCTCTGGTACTGGGTTGGGAGGGGAGGGGCGCTGGAGAGAGTTGAAGAGATTTATCCAAGACTGAGAGTAAGGATGAATGGTTCTTACCAAAAATTATCTGCACCTGGGGATAACAAGGTGGCCTGTCCTCGGGGCCCTCGCTCTGGAATACCCAAAAACCATTGCCGTCGAGTTGATTCCAACTCATGGCGACCCTATAGGACAGAGCACAACTGCCCCATAGGGTTTCCAAGGAGCTGCTGGTGGATTCCAACTGCCGACCTTTTGGTTAGCAGCCAAACGCTTAACCAGTTCGCCATCAAGGCCCTGGAATAGTGTCCAGTAATTCTTCAGCATCACCTTTGTAGAAGACTTGAGAATATGTTTGTATTCTGAAACCAGTGGATAGCTTTGAAATGGTATATCCTGGCCTGAGAACAAGTTTTGATCTAAATTGGGGGAGGAGGGGTTTAATGCATGTCTCCTTCAAGTTCAATAAAGTCTTTGATCCTCAGTGTCTTTCCCTTTTATTGATGACATGAAGCATGAGGTGACTCAATTGATGGGACTGTCATTGCTTCCTTATATTTAGATTTTGAAATGTTTTGAAGTTCAGAGGGGCTGTTCTCTTTTTTTTTTTTTTTTAATTTCCAGAAGTTGTTTTATTGGCTTGTAATTTTTTCAAAAAAGTATGTCTTACATTACTTTGATTTTGTTCGTTCACTGCACCTGCATTTCTGTCTTAGGTACAGGAAGAAGGAATGGAGTCGAATGGAAGAAAATTCATTCCAGAGACAAAATAGCTCCCCTCCTCTGTTATAGCTGTTCCCTGGCAATACAAACTTTCTGCTTTCAGTGAGTAGTATTACCTTGGACGTATTTAGAATAGAATTTTGTTGTTGTTTTGGTTTTAGGCCTGTGCTGGGACTTTAAAATGTATGTGCTTCCTTGTATTTTTCTACTTCCATGAGGGGCTCCCAATGTTTGTGAAGTTCCTTCCACTTGATCTCTTAAAATAATTTAAGTATGCAAAGACAGAGGATTTACTCTAAGCCCCCAGCGTGGCCTAGAGGGTAACAAAGCCTTAAACTTCATATATGTTCTACTAATATAGATATATAATAAAAAGTCACCCAAAGATCATAGCTTAGAAGTTAGTGCAGTTCCTAATCAAGGTCAATTATTGAGCCTCTTTCATATGGTTATAGTCCTCAGAGATTTCTACAACGTTTTGCTCTAACTCTGCTATTGGTGATACTATCCCATCACAAATTTGAAAATAGTTAAAATTCTACATGTAAACTGTGAACAAAGTTATGGGAAAAAAATTTTATTACTGCAGCATCCCCTTGAATTTGTTAATGATAGTGTGCTGACATTTTTAAGACAGAGTTTTTCTTAGTGCTTTGCATTTCATTGGATCCTCATAATCCCTCTGTGAGGGAGACAGGGGACAAATGAAGAAACCAAGACCCAGAAAGACTCAGAAGGACACATAGGAAAGAGGTGGGAAACTCAAAACAAAACTTTTGACTCTTACATTCATATTTTTCTTAAGCCAACTTGACATGAAAATGTATAGTTCTACACGTTTTTCTAAATCTATAAATGTAAAAGGAAATTGTATAGGTAAATTGTATTCTATGGTGAAATTTTTCACATACCAAGTGTTTTGGATACGTGTATGTGTGTACTGTGGGGTTTCAAAAATATAGAAATGATTATTTGAAATGGTTACCAGAATGTTTGTGGGTTTTTCACCTATTTCCTGGAATAGAGCCATAAGTAGGCCAGAATTACAGCACAGGTGCCATTTCAGTACCCGTAATATAATTATTAAATTGAATTTCTGTTCAACACGGTGTCAAAGGAAACGACAGCCTGCTGCTTTCTGTGGAAGGCTTGATTTGAGCAGACATCTGGACGTTAAATGATAACAGAGAAAATGTAGAGAACTCCTTTTTGCTTTGCCTCTTTTCCACCTCCCAAATCTATTTTCTTTGTTATGAGGCCATGCTCTTCAGTAAGGTGTTTTGAGGCTTGTCTTCAAAAGATGAATCTAAATTTTTTGCACCTCCAGGCTTTTCTAGGTAATTGTTTCCAGGTTATTGTTTGAAATCTACCCCTATCTAACTACTTTGACACAGTAGTTTGATTAGTTCTCAGTACCTATAAAGACTTAAGACTATAACAGCATATTTAGCAAATTTAGTCTCTTTTTAGTCTGTATAAGCTTAAATGAGTACTCTAATAGACTATAATTCTGTTCAACTCTGCGACAGCCTGCGGTTCTTTTTTTATATTTCCTGGCATCTCACAATGAAAGGAACAGCAGGTGATTTATTAAAAGGCACTGCTCTCCAAAGAGGAAGAACATCAAGGTCATCAGAGTAATAATCCCATGTTAGTAACATGATTTTTACACTACAAGTTAGTCTTCATAAAACTCTGTTATGAGGGCATTTATTTTTCTAGAAATTGTAAAAACTCAAAACTATGGTATTTTTATAACTATAACCCTGCCTTTATTGGTAGGGGGAGTGATAGTGTTAATAGTAGATACTCAATAAGTAGTAGCTACGTACCAAACAACTGTGTCAGGTGCTTTCATGTTGTACTCATTGAATGCACACAAACAACCCTCTGGTAGCAGGAGCCCAGGTCCCACAGAGATGTGAGGATGTGCCCAAGTTTACACAGCTGGCACTTGACAGTTCAGAGTTGGGATCTCACACTGGACTATACCGCCACAGCCTAGTAGGCACTGCCCTCTGAAGATGGGAGCTGCTCCGGGAAAACGTCAGCTTGTGATTGCAAAGGGAGGAAGGCCCTCCTGCCCAGCCAACCACCTCAGTCAGGGCACCCTCACATCTTTGTCTCAATGCTTTTTTTTTTTTTTAATTGTACTTTAGATGGAGGTTTACAGAACAAACTAGCTTCTCGTTAGACAGTTAGTACACATTGTTTTATGGCATTTTTGAACAACCCCACGACATGTCAGCACTTTCCCTTCTTGACCTTGGGTTCCCAATTACTAGCCTTCCTGTCCCCTCCTGCCTTCTAGTCCTTGCCTTTGGGCTAGTATGCCCCTTTAGTCTTCTTTTGTTTTATGGGCCTGTCTAACCTTTGGATGAATGGTGAACCTCAGGAGTGAATTGATTACCAAGCTAAAAGGGTGCCCAGGGGCCATACTCTTAGGGTTTCTCCAGTCTCTGTCAGGCCAGTAAGTCTGGTCTTTTTTTGTGAGTTAGAATTTTGTTCTACATTTTTCTCCAGCTCTGTCCGGGACCCTCTATTGTGATCCCTGTCAGAGCAGTTGGTGGTGGTAGCCGGGCATCATCTAGTTGTGCTGGACTCAGTCTGGTGGAGGCTGTGGTAGTTGTTGTCTGTTAGTCCTTTGGACTAATCTTTCCCTTGTATCTTTAGTTTTCTTCATTCTCCCTTGCTCCCGAAGGGGTGAGACCAGTGGAGTATCTTAGATGGCCGCTCACAGGCTTTTACTCACAGACTCTACTCACCAAAGTAGAATGTAGAACATTTTCTTTATAAACTATGTTATACCAATTGAGCTAGATGTTCCCCCGAGACCATGGTCCCCTCAGCCCAGCGGTTTGGTCCCTCAGGGGGTTTGGATGTGTCTATGAGTCGAAATCGACTCAACAGCAGTGGGTTTTTTGGTATGGAGCTTCCATGACCTTGCCTTGTCAAGTTGTGCTGGCTTCCCCAGTATTGTGTACAGTCTTACCCTTCACCAAAGTTACCATTTATCTGTTGTCTATTTAGTGTTTTTCCGTCCCCACCCCTCCCCTCCCCTCCCTCATAACCATCAAAGATTGTTTCTTTTTGTGTGTAAACCTTTTCATGAATTTTTATAGTAGTGGTCTTATGCAATGTTTGTCCTTTTGTGATTGACTTCATTCAGCATGATGGCCTGCAGATTTATCCATGTTGTGAGATGCTTCATAGAGTCATCATTTATTGTTGCATAGTACTCCATTGTGTGTATGTATCATAGTTTGTTTATCCATTCATCTGTTGATGGGCATCTAGATTGTTTCCATCTTTTTCGTATTGTGAACAGTGCTGCAGTGAACATGAGTGTGCATATTTCTTCATATGACGACTCTTACTTCTCTAGGATATACTACTAGGAGTAGGATTGGTGGATCATATGGTGTATTTCTAATTTTATAAGATAGCACTGTATCATTTTCCAAAATGGTTGTACCATTTTGCATTCCCACCAGCAGTGCTAAGAGTTCCAATCTCCCCACAGCCTCTCCAACATTTGTTATTTTCTGTTTTTGTTTTTTTTTTTTTGACTCATGCCAGGATTGTCGGGGTAAGGTGGTATCTCATTTTGGTTTGATTTGCATTTCTCTAATGGCTAGTGATCACAAGCATTTCTTAATATGTCTGTTATCCACTTGAATGTCTTCTTTGGTGAAGTATCTGTCATTTCCTTTGCCCGTTTTTTAATTATTTGTCTTTTTGTTGTCCAGCTGTTGGATTTTCCTGTAGATTTTAGAGATTAGACCTTTGTCTGATTTGTAATAGCCAAAAGTTTTTTCCCAGTCTGTAAGTTCTCTTTTTACTCTTCTGTTGAAGTCCTTTGATGAGCATAAGTGTTTAATTTTTAGAAGATCCCAGTTACGTAGCTTATCTTCTGGAGTTGTGTGTTGTTAGTTATGGTTTGTATCCTGTTAATGCCGTGTATTAAGGCTTCTAGCATTGATCCTATTTTTTCTTCTATGATCTTTAGTTTTTGGCTTTATATTTAGATCTTTGATCTATTTTGAATGAGTTTTTGTGTATGCTGTGAGGTATGGGTCCTGTTCCATTTGTTTTGCAGATGGACATCCAGTTTTGCCAGCACCATTTGTTAAAAAGACTATCTTTCCCCCATTGGATGGACTTTGGGCCCTTGTCGGAGATCAGGTGACTGTAGGTGGATGGATTTACATCTGGGTTCCAGTTCTGTTCTACTGGTTAATGTATCTGTCGTTGTATCAATACCAGGCTGTTTCGACTACTGTAGCTGTATGTATACTAGGCTCAGAGGTCAGGTAGTGGGAGTCCTCCTACTTTACGCTTCTTCAGTAGTGCTTTACCTACCCGAGGCTTTTTCTCTTTCCATATAAAGTTAATGATTAGTTTGTCCTTCTCTTTAAAGAATGTTGTTGATATTTGGATTGGGGTTGCAATGTGTTTATAAATTGCTTTGGATAGAATTGTCATTTTCACAATGTTGAGTCTACCTATCCATGAGCATGGTATGTTTTCCCATTTATGTACATCTCTTTTGGTTTCTTGCAGTAGCGTTTTGTAGTTTTCTTTGTATAGGTCTTTTACGTCCCTGGTTAAATTTATTCCTAAGTATTTTATTTTTTTAGGGGCTGTTATAAATGGTTTTCCTCATTCTGTTTATTGGTGTATAGGAATCCAACTGATTTTTTTATGTTTATCTTGTATACTCCTACTCTGCTGAATATTTCTGTTAGTTCCAGTAGTTTTCTCATGCCAATACTTATTTTAATAAGCATTAGCAGTTTATGGGAAGTGGTTTATACTAATTCCTGAAGTTATAAATCATAAATGCTCTAGTGGGTTGCTCTTAAAGCACCCCCTTCTTCAAAATGGAAAAAAAAAATTCTTCTCAAGTATAGTTTAAATTATATGACTTATCAAAGGAAAGCTTTGAGCCACCTAAGGTTCAATGAGAGCAAAAATTGTTCCTTGGTTATAGCACCTGAGGCCAAGTCCAGGACTGACCAGTTATTGGTGACTTTCAGCGAAGAAGACAGCTGCCAGCATAAATCAGACCAAGAAGTGAATTTACATGATAGTTGACCTAATTTTTAGAATGAATTATCGACATTGGCGTTGCATTTTTCTATAAATAATTATTAAACCATCCTTTGGTTTAGGCTGAATACAGTTGGCATTGTTGATAAGAGTAGATACTTGTAATTCAGTCACGCTCAACTTTGGAGACACTCCACGGTCAGCACTTTCCAGTGGAACCAAAGATACAAAGATCAGGTTGTGCCATAATCATTTTGTTTATAAAAAAGACAAACTTAAGTAAAATTATTAGATCTTTAGATAAAATTCTTGGTAGAGGCTATTTACTCAATCAGTAATTTGTATGTTTTTATGCATACTGTATGCAGGACACTGTGTTGTCAGGTGTTGTGAGAGATAAGACATAAATGCTACCTGGTCTCTCAGACTAAAGGCAATGATGAGTTCAGTGCTGGCTGGAATTTTTAAGTGGCGTTATAAGCCACCCAGCCCAGAACAGCAAAGCATTGCTCAGTTTCTCCCCAGAGAGAGAGGGAGAGTCATGTCTGGCTGTTTTGTGGAACCTAACGAAGTTCAGGTCCCCTCAATTTGTTATAAGTCAGGTAGAAGGGAGAGGTTATCCTATAAGGAACGGGAAGATGAGGATTCCACAGCATAACTGAGGAGAATGTGGTGACCTTTTCAGCAGAGAGGAGACTTGATTTTGTTTGACAGTTGCTAGGTAGGGAGGCTGAGTAGTTCTTAAGTGAAAAGATACCAATGATTCCTATTGTTTCTTACAACTTCTTGTTAATTATGGGTATCGTCTCCCATCTGGTAGAAATTCAGTTTTTTAACTATTTCATTCTCATTGATTGTTCTGAAATGGGCAAATAGTAGGAAAATGAGATCACTGCTGCCCTGCCCACTCTTAACGTGGCCCTTGAGTTTAGTTCAAGGCTTGAGAGGGTCTAAAAAGCAAGGGTTTTTACACCTGATTGCAGTTATTTTAAATGAAACATTGACTTAACAGTAAGCATTAAGTTGTTTGTATTATGATCAAAGAATCAGGTGTATAGGGTTTTGAGGAAGGATGAGAAGAAGTTCATACACAGTTTTAGAAGAGGAAGAGTATGTCATTAGGGTATTTATTTTCAACTGGTTAGTCTGTTGTATTAAAATGCTATTACTCAGAGGTATCTTATGCTCTCCTGTCAGATGCTGAGTCTCTGGAAAGAATATCTCTTTGATCATTGTAGGGCAGTCCTAGGAACTCCCACCAAATGACTGGGTGTGACTATGCAGATGAGGACTTGTGGCCCACCAGTGTGATTGGATAGCTTGCTAATAATGTAAATAAGGTACATGGCACCCTTGTGGGTGTGGGACTATGCAGATAAAGTATATGGAACCCTAACTAAGGGATTGGTCAGTTTTGCCATCCTGCTAGGCTTAAAATGAGCCATTCCAGAGGTGGAAAGAGGGACCTCATAACCACCAAGAAAGAAGAGCCAGGAGTGGAGTGTGTCCTTTGGACCAGGATCCCTGCGCTGAGAACCTCCTAGATCCAGGAGACAGACAGAGCTCTAACACTGGAGACAGCAAGAAGCAGCAGCAGA